ATTTAACAGAAAGATAATTATAAATAATTATATTACAGTTCAAAGGCACTAACCACGAAGGCTATCGGCCTGACCAGTAACTAAACTAGCTGTTGCCAAATTTATTATGAAGTCTAAATATTGTTTTAGAACCCCACAAAAATTGTGGTACGTAATAAATAAGCCATCATCGATTCGCCATTTCAGCCCAAGCAAAGTTGACGAGTTGAAAGGAGTTCATGAAATATGCGAGTCCCTCATTTAAGCGGTAGAGATGTTTTTTTAGACATGTGGTTTTCAAGAAGAAATAAAACGCATATAATTTAATGTTATGGGCACGATTGGCTCAAATAAATTCCATTCGAGAGGCCAAATTTCCAACCACTTTTTGCAGCAATTGTGGCCAATATGCTAGCAATAACGCGTCGAATGGTCTTGGGCTTATCTTCTTAGACAAACACTTCACAATACCTAACAAAAAATAGTCCAGCTGTATTAAATGGCATAATCTTGAAGGCCGCGGTATAGGCCCATATTGCGCACACCAAAAGTTTTGCTATATAAATTGCATCGTGTGCAGCTCCGTCTAGTTGAAACCAAAGGTCGTCCACATCAATATCCTCCAATTCAAGCACGAAAAAGTCGTTAATAATGGCTCTATAGGGTTCCCCATTGACTTTAACATTATGGCCCGCTTCATGTTTGAATAAATATAGACCAATGATTTCCTTTGCCCATATAGCACACAAAACTGTGACTTTTTGAGGATGTAACGGCGTCTCAATAATGGCTTGAGGATTATCATCACTTCAAATGCGACAACTTTTTTATTAACGAACTTATTCAACCAAATATGAGTTTCATTGATAAAAAAAATTTGTGAAAACTCGGATCAGTGGTTTTGGATCCGAACATATGACTCGCTTCATGGTCGTTCGGCTTTAATTCTTGCACGAGTTGGATTTTGTAAGCCCACAAACTAACATCATTCCACAAAATCTTCTTTAAAGTGGATGGGCAAAGCTCCAAGTATTGCGCGCGATGGCGCTTGAAGATATTGGGATCTTCTTCGATACAATGCTCCACAACAGCAATATCGTCTTCGATGCGTACTACTGGGCGATTATTTCGACCTTATATTGGACACACCTGAACCATTATTTTGGTAATAAATTTACATGACTTGCAGAATTTGTTCATTATTAAATGGTAAACCAAACTGAGTATAAATCAAGTAACAGCTGTCACTCCAAAAAAATGATTGCTTCATTAACACCACACATCAAAAAAATACCCGTTATGCTAACAAATTTTATTTTCAGATTTTAGACAAGTTTGACAATTACATAAAAAATGAAACCTTAAAATCGTAAACGAAGATAAATCGTAAAAACGTTTTTAATAAATTTTATAAATAAATACTCTAATTAAAATAAAAACAAAGGGGTATTAAAAGTAATATTTGATGTTAGGAGAAGCTGTAATTAAATAATTGTTTTTGTAAAGTTTCGTTTGTTTATTTTCTCAACTGTGTTCGATTCGCCACTGTCTAATGCATGACGAATCAATGAAAAAAAATTATAAAATTTCGGAAAATATTAATTTTTTCAATATTGTATTATTTTCGAATAACTATTTTGAAATTGCTGAAATCATGTAAATACGCCCCCATTCTCTCAATTTTTTTTAACAAACTAAACAAATTTAATGAACTATTATTAAATTAATCTATGTGTTGAAATCAAGCTTATCAGTTTCACTTTCAGATTTCATAATTTTAAATCTATTTTAATTCTGCCTTGTATAAATTACATATTAACCGCATCAATTCCCGTTTCTAGCGCTTCAATAGCTTCACTTGGCATAAATTAAATGATATTAAGAAGGTTTAGCGCCGCTCACTATGCTGAGTTCCCCACCTCTCTGTTGTTTCAGAGACTATGCGTTGTTGTAACCAAAAGGGTGGCAAAAGCCAACAGCAACATAAGGTTGTAAGCAGTCAGCCGTTACGCATTTCATTAAATGTTTCGAAATTTCTGATTTTTCACCGGGTCAATTCAACACTTTCACTACAATTGCCCGCTTGATCCACAAAAAGACAGCACCGCTATTGTTTATCTTTGTATTTTCCAACGCTGCCTATTGTATTTGCATTTTGGTAATTTTATGTATGAATTTTGATTAAATTCTCAAGACTTGATTTGAGTTAAGCAGTTTTTAATTGCTTCCAAATTAGTTCAAAAATTTAATTTTAAGAATTTAATGTGAATTTGGAAATTGCCTATTTCATGCCTAGAACGCTGCGTGCAATTTAAGCGCCAGTACAAAGCGTCAATTAACTGCAGCATAATTTAATTCGAGCCAATGGCACGCCCACTGACCCACTCTGGCATATAACGGCATATCTGTTCTGGTGGCACGCGGCCAACAACGAACGGAATTCCAGGCATTTAAAGCTTAACGACTAACATTGACCGGCCAAGCCAGCCAGTCAACAAGCCAAGCAGTGAGGCAGCCAAAGCGCCAGCGTCGCTAAATGAAGTTAATTAAATCTGCTGCAGGTTGATTCATTTATTAAGCTGTAAAATGCAAAATAAAATAAAAATTTAACACAGCAGTGTTAAAAAAATAATAAAAGCAAAATATAGTGCCAAGAAATAGCTGGAATTGCAATGGAGATACTCCACATGTTCCATCTTCCCGCATCTCTGCACCATCACCTTCACTAGAAACGCCAAGCCAGCGGAAGAGATTATGAAGCGGAGTAATTTTTGAAGTTTCACCCAAAGGCGCTGAGGGAGCTGCGGCGTATTTTCGAAATTATTATGAAATATGATAAAACAAGCAAACTCGGAAATTTGCCAGAAATACTCGCTTAATTTTCGCTTTGATAACTCTCAGTTTGGTGGCCAAGAATTATGCTAGTCTTAATGAGTGGTTTGGGTAGGTGAATTAGTGCAGCTTTTATTAGTGATAATAGATTGTAAAGTAAATTGGCTTAAAGTATTGCCGCATGTACAATTTGAAAGTGTTAAAAAGTTTTTTAGGAATGGTTACAACTAATTTTGATTTCATTTAATATTTTTCCAAAAGATCAGACATTCAAACAGCTATTGCGTATCAGTTATCATTTTCTCAATTTATCCCTCACTTCAAACAATAAGCAGGAGCGTGGACTATAATCCCTCGTACTTACCGGAATGTTCACAAGAAATACTTGAAGGAAACTGAATTTGAACTTTATCGTGCTAAAAATTTTCCATGTACCTATTTTCATTTCCAGACAGACATTACCCTAAGCTAGATTCTTTTCTAACTAGAAAAGAGGGAATTTATATGCCTTTGACTACTTGTACCCGTCATCTCGTACAAACGATTTTCAATGTATTAGAAAATGTTTAAAGCATAACATAAAAATCTCTATTTTAGGAATGAACATGCAAATAATGGAACAGCCCCTTCAACTTAAGAAGCAGTGTGTGTGACCTAGTGTGAAATTTTGAAAAAATCGATTTGTTCTACAATTCAGTAATTTTTACCTTTCAAAACATCATACTAAATCTTCAAATCGATATCTCAAATAGTTTTTGAGTTAAAGCCATTTAAAATGTAGCCGCCTAGATCAATTCGATCGAGTTTGCTGAAATGATTACTCGAAGAAAATTATCCGATAATTTTTCTGCCTGTTCTGTATATAATTCTGCATACAATTACCTATCGGTTCTTTGATCAAAAATCGAATTTTCGCAGGCCAAAAACGAACAAAATTTGGAGTAAAATTCAATTAGTTTTTTAAACGGCGCCATTTTGTCAATTTTCGATGTTTTGTTTTTGATGGTTTCATTTGTACGGAGAATATCTTTTAGTTTAACAAGAATTTTTTAGTTTTAGGTTTCATTCACAGAGAAGGCCGATATCACTGGAGCAATGGACGGTCTTTGTTTTTAGCGCTGTCGGACATCTCGTATATGTATGTGGTTTCCAAAACAGTCGATACAATACATTTTTTTTGTTCCCAAAAATCGACGTTTCCACTACTTGAATTGTATGTATTTTCAGAAGTAATATTCGATTTCTACTCAGAGCTGGCACAGAATATTAAATGAGGAAACTCTTCGAATTACAGACACAGTATATTGCTGGTAAAATGATAATAATTCGAGAACATATTTCATATATCAAGAAGTTTCATTATTGTTCCATCTCAGAACGGGGCATTAATATATAGAAAATTTAAGAAATCTCAAAAAAATACAAGACAGGTCTGCAATATCAATTCTTGTTGTCATTTCCTGTTGTGTTTTAAAAACAATCTTACTTAATTGTGAGCAAAACGATGCACACTTTTTCTTGGTTATCTGGTTTGCCATCACAAACCGCAGCAAATGGGAATTCACAGTCAGGCACGAAAGCAAAATCTGTTTACATGCCACATTCGCCCAAGACAACCGAAGGACCGCGTAGCAGCGGCAATGGCATTGGCAAAGGAGCAACTTTAAGTCGGCGCAGTCAGGCGGTTGTTTAAAAATACAAAATTATATATATGCATATACAAATGGAAAATGCATCGACCAAGGCAAAAAAAATTGCGACATAAAGTATATGCTTCAGATGTTTGCGCAGTAATATGTATATGTAAATTCCGGTTTCGTATTCTTTATATAAAGTATTATATAGTTCATATAGTTATTTTCACTCATGCATCTTATTAAACATGTTTTTCTGTAGTGAAGGATAATGATATTACAAAAATACTAAGAAATATAGTTAAGATAACTAAGGATATAAAATTATAACTAAAGATATCAATATAGCTACATGCTATAATGGTCCGATATTGCTAGTTCCGACAAATTAGTAGCTTCTTGGAATGAAACGACGCGTGCCAGACTTAAGATCGGAATCTCACACACTAAGGGACTAGTTCGCGTTTATACAGACATTAGGCCAGGCAGGCGAACAATGCGAAATCAACTCAGCTCGTCATGCTGATCATTTATTTATATATAATATTTTGTAGGATGTCCGACGTTTCCTTTTGGATGTTGCAAGCTTCGTGGAAAACTTTATATACCCTGTTCAGAGTATATATAATTAACATCACTTAAAACAAATGCAAACAACTCCGTTCATCTCAGCCCTTAGCACTGGAACCACTTAAATTGATTAAACAATTTATTTCTTAATTTGGCTCGAATTGTTTGTCTGTCGATTTTTACTACGGAAAAAAATTTAACAACTATTTTTTTTGTCTATTTTACAATGGAATCACGGCTACGGATCGTTGAAAATGTTGCAAAAGTATTGCCTCCTTCGCGTCGTCCATCCACCTCTGTTGTATGCAAATAAGAATTTTTGGGAGAGTTATTGTTTTGGTGGATTTTAGACCGAAAATCTTAAAAAAATAATATAATAAAATTTCAACACCCAAATAAAACGATTTTCGACATATTTTTCAGATATCTACAATTTTCCATATGCTATCTCTTTCACGAACGGTCCTCCGAAGTTCAAAAGTAAGAAATAACTGTAAACCTTGTCACCCTGTGAACAAAACGCAGTTACCTGCACTACCTGACTGATCAAACATTCAACGTATTCCACAAACAAATAATTGTCACTACGCGTCGAACAGCTGTGTTTGTTTATTGAAAAACTAGACAACTTCTTGGTTACCAGTTTTGTTTACTCACTTTTTACTTCCACAAACAATAGAACAAATGTCAGGTAGATTAATTTTTCTTTTAAAAAAGATTTTTGAAGCCTCGAAAAAATTCATAAAAATATGATAAGTTATTGATAAATAAAAAGCGGAAATAACTGGTTTAAGAAAGATATTTGCGAAATATTTGACAACTAAATTAGCAATCTAAAATTTAAAACAATTTGCGAAAAGACATCACCCGTTAAACGAAGAAAGAGCAAAAGCACGAATCTCAAAGACAAAATAAAGTAAAGTCGCTAACAGCAAGAATCAGAAGAAGGAATCCGAAGAAGTTTCAATACAATGGTAAGTAGACATTTATTTATAATTTTTTATGTGTTATGTATGTGTATGTCGCATTCAGTAGTATAAGGCTTTATTTTTGATCTCTGAACTTAAACATTTATTGAATATTGGATTATTGAAATATCGTTCTGCAAGAACTACAGTATTAAGTAAACTTAGCTAATCTACTACATATCACTTATCACATTACTATTGGGTCTATAGCTATATTCGTTCGGCACATTTCACAACTTGAGCGTTTGAAAAATATGAATAATAGTATTAATAGTGTTATAAAAAGTATTGTCCAACACAATCTATAACATTTTCTCATCTTTCTGGCAATTTGTGGATACCAAAAGAACTGTACTAGCTTCGCAGCCATGCCAATTTTTTATATCCTGTTCTGATGTGAACCGATTTCCAGTGAGGAAACAAACAAACGGTGTTCAAAAGGGGAAAGGTCTGGGCCACAAGGCAGAGGAGGCAAAACTTCCCAGTCGCTGTGTTCCAAACAGTTTTTAACCGATATTGCAACATGAGGCCGAGCTTTGTTATGGCGGCATTCCCTATTGATGGTTTACAATACCGCACACACTTCTGATCCCACTAAATACAGAGCATTACCCAAGCGTCATGGATCTTTGACACTGCCGTTGATTAAACTCGTTGGTCAGGTCTTACATATCGTTCAATTTGCATATACAATTTTCTTAATGGGGCCACTTTTCATCACCAGTCACAGTCTGGCTGCTTGTGAACGTTTTGAAATGGCTACTTGATTGACTACCAAAGATTCTGTGAGCTCTTTTTCCATTAAGTAATGCTTCCAGTTCGTCTTCTTCACCACCAAAACACAATGACTTTCGGCTGAGGTGTTCTTTATATTAAAGTAATGAAGAAGGACTCCTCGCAAAAACATTTTTTCAGGCGCAAAGTTCGACATATTTGAGTGAAAAAACTTGGAAGTGTTGTAATGCTGTATCAACTAACTGATAACGCAAAATGTCTCTGAGTACAGTCCAATTTCTTAGAAGGGAATACCCTTAATATAAAAGTTACTGATAATAAGCTTGGCAACCACTGGTCTTCAAGTCCCAGGTTTTAAGCCACATTGACAAGATTTCATGCAGAGAGCAGACCACCTACTATTACAGCGCATCCATTTTATACTTGTGGAACTTTTTTTATTTGCATCGATCAAATATACTTATATGGTATACATATTTACATAGATCTAACTTTTTAGTTGTCACCCAAGCTTCCTTTTTCAGCAGAGGACTACTTTCCAGCCGGGTTGACGTGGCTGTAGATTAACATACGTTGGGTAAATATTTATATGCGATTATCTGCAATAACAATGCATCATTAGTGCAACAACAACCACGTCAACGACAGCAACAATTCACAAAAAGATGGTGCACGCGTGAAGCCAGAAGTTCAACGATGAGCAACATACAACGCAGCAATGCGACGATATATCGGTCGTCACTTTATCATCCGACTGCATCCTGTCGCGCTGCATAAGGCGCTCCCCGGCAATTGTAGCGATTTTTCAACAGCAGCCGCCTTTGCTGCTAAATGCACAAGCATTTCTGTGTGTTCGTAAATATGAATTCTCGTACAACAACTTAAGCGAAAATGACGCCGAGGCATAACCGACGTTGCATGCAACGAATGCGTCACAACAACACAGGCAACAACAAAATTTATAACCAAAAATATGGAAATATTTATGAAATCAAGCCAACAAGTGCAAACACAACCGAACGCCTTGCTGGCATTGTTGTCATTACGGATTTGTTGCTATTTTATTTATGAAATTTTCACTGCTTTCGCCGTTATTCTCACCAACTATCGGAAACAGCTCGCCCGCTAGTGGCGCACAGTTTTGTGAAAAGGAAAGGATTGTAGGAATAAGGTTGTTGTTGGGCTTGCTGGCCCAAGTCAGTGTGGCGCTCGGACGCGGGTTTTTGAATAATTTGCATTCATAAAATATGCAATAAGCCAACAGCTGTTGTGATATTGTTTTGAAAGCCGCGTCATCATATTATTTAAACACTGGCTGCACGCGAACGCAAAAAGCGCAGAAAAAACTAATTTCACGATTACTTATTTGGTTGAAGTTGTGTTTCCTTTTCTGCTTTAAATTGAATTTAAAGTAATTACAAATACTACATTATTATGGACGTGTATCATGACTCAGATCAATTCGAAAATGGCTTTTGATATTCTTAAAAACGCATATTTCTCTGTTAGAGAAAAATAATGAAAACTCTTTCACTTTTCTACTTTTTTGTCTCCCACCAGAAAGTTCCAGATATATATATACATATGTATATATATACTTTCTAGAACTATATAACCTATATAAATAAAACAAAATCGGGTTATTTACACCATTTTTAATTCAAGAACCAATGACCGATTTTGATTATCTCTCATCATGATGATCCGTTACCGTCGAAACGTCCTTAGTTCTTAGTATTAGTCAGAGTAAACACTAATAATATATGCCTATGTATGTATCTGATGAGTACTATCAAAAGTTTTTCCAGGTCTGAACTTAGACAGAAAGGCAACAATCAATTGGTTGACTTTCGTCTTGAATCACGTTCTTCAGATCTTTGAATAAGATCAATGAAAATTTGTTCAAAATGTTGATTTTCCAGTTGTTATTTATCTTATAAGTCACAGACTCCATCATCTGTCCTATTTATTGCACAGAGTGTTTAATTCACCAAACCTTTGTTTGTAACAACTAAATGTAATCAAGATACAAGTAGACTTATATCAGGTCTAGTAAAAAGAAACCCATCGTTTTTGCTATAAATTAAAAGTTTTACTTAGCATAATTAAAACGATCGATTTAGGTCAAATCTGCACTGTATGCCACTCTGATAGGAACCCTCGTCCCTATTTAAAAAACTCGAACAGTCTTTTTTCACCAGCAAAATCATTCGGCATAGACAGACACAGATTGGACCCAGGTTTGGACTATAAGGTGGGTACAAAAGAACCTACCAACCAATCTCCCGAAGTTTCTGGTGAGTCACTATAGATGTGTGGCCTGGCGATGTCCTGATGGGCCACAATTTCTCTCCGATTGTTCAAAGCTGGCAACTTTTGAGCGAATGTTTCCTTCAGACAGTTCATTTGGTGAAAATAATGGCCCGAATTTCGAGTTTGGAAACAGCCGTAGAGAAACACCTCAGAGTAGATGTAGTAGCTCACCCCTACCAATTCCACCAAACACATAGAAAAACCTTGCTGACGATCAACTTTGATTTGGCCACCGGCACACTGCGATTTGAGCACGACCATTTTCGCTTAACGTTGTTGTTAAGAGCCCAATTTTCATCACCATTGGCCACCCACTTCAGAAATGGATCGCTTTGTGTCGGTTCAGCAGCGACTCGCAGATATACGTTAAAAGTGGTTTTTTGCGTTAAATCGCGTGACACCCATACATCGAGCTTTTTTTGTATCCAGCCTTATTTAAATGGTTTCGGAATCGACGAAACCGAAATTGTGGCACCTGTCTTATATCTTATACCATATATGAGGACCGCAGTGCTTTTGGCTGACGTAATACTGAAAATATTGCCTAATTTGCAAGATGTCTTATAGAAACAATATGGACATCTTTTTCTTATAACAATGTAGACTGGTGCTAAAAATCGAAATATCTCATCTTCTTACAATCATTTTCATTCAACTTGTTGACTTTACAACGTTTTTATCGGTCAATATGAGTAATAGTTTTTTTTTTATTGAATGACCGCAATGAAATAGCGTCGAAAAAATTTGTTACACACTTACTTTATCATGATTTTTGCGCCTCTGGAATTGACATACAAGGCTACATATTATACTTTGATTTAATTGTAAAACTCTTACCTAGCAACCGGCTTAATATACGTACTCCTTCCGAAAATAAATTATTATTAACTCATGTAAAAATGTTGTCTTGTCCATATATGTGAAACTTTACCATATTTGGTCTTCTACAAGACAAAGAAGGTCAACAGGTCGATTCTTAAGACGCTTTAATAATGACTGAATAATTCAGTGTTATCTCTTCCATAGTTTTCTCGTTTATTTTTCTACTTAACAGCTTAAATCTACTTACATACATATTTACCTTTTCGTTTCCCGCACTTTTGTCGATTTCTCTTCACTTTGCCAGTCGCTTAATGCTTTGCACATCTCTTTCGTATACATATATGTATACTGGTAAATGCATATGATTTATAAGATTTAAAGCGCAGACTTACACGTGCAAACATAAATACAAATGTACACGAACGCGTGTAAGCGCGAGTCGGCGTTCTTCTCAGAAATCCTGTCAGTTCAGTGCACTTGATAAACGAAAATGCGAGCACGAACGCCAATCTGCTTTAGCGGTTCGCCTGATGCATTTCAATTATTATATTTTTATAATCGATGGTTGGTGAAAATTTCCATTCTCACTTGCGCTTGTGTGTATGTGTTCGCCGTTAAATATCTTGTTGTGTCATTATGGAATTGGCGCTGCAAGGATTGTTATTCGTTACAGTGCCATAGAGTAAGATATGAATGTATGTATGCATGTATGTTCGTACGCTTCTTTACACACACATATGTACGTATACACGAGAAAAGAAAATATTAAATTTGTCGTTGATGATTTTGAAAACAAAAACAACAACAATGGATATAAAAACAGTTATTATAATTAACACGATCCCTTGTTGCTTCGCTCCTCGCTCTATTTGGCTCAACAAATTGAAAAACGTATCACTTTGTGCGTATGTATAAGTGTATATTAAAACAAGAAAACGTGTCAGTTGCTTTAAAGCTATAATACCCTTCACAAATACTAAAGATTTCTTACAAGAACTTTATTTTGATTGACCAGCTTGTAGCAGCTATATGCTTTAGTGATCCGATCTGAACAACTTCTTCGAAGATTGCACCGTTGTCTTGGACAATAGTCCTTGCTCAATTTCGTGAAGATGTCTCGCCAAATGTAAAAGTTTTCTATACAAGCACTGATTCCAATTGTTCAGTTTGTATGGTATGAGAGACTAGTTCGCGTATATACAGCACGTCATGCTGATCATTTATTTATTAATTTTATAGGGTATCCGCCGTTTCCTCGGTATTACAAACATAGAGGCAAACTTATATACACTGTACATTATAATGAAATATACTTAACTTTGAAGTTTATATTTTATATTCATGGTACAATATTATTAATTATCATCTTCTCAAATTTTCAATGTAGACATCAATTGAATTTAAAGAATTAAATCGTAAATACTTTGATATGCATTTACCTATAAGAATATAAAAGGTGTTTTTGTAGATACTGCAAATAAAATATTAAAATGTTAATGGAATTGTCAATATTTTGAATTCAAAAATTTTATGAAATTTTCTTTTTGAATAAAAGTTTAGATATATGTACAAGTAGATGAGTGCGTTAGTAGAAGACTATTTTGAAGGTAAATTTTCTGTTTTACACCACTTTTCTCAGCTTCGCCTGATTTATCCCAACAACAAAGCATTACAATTTAGTTTCGAACTGGTAAATTATAGCAGATTTAACATCGTAGATCATTTACTTGATGTACTCTCACAAAAAATAGTTTAACGAAGTCAAATCACTTGCCCTAAAAAATCAATCAACAGGTATATTTCTTGAAATGATTGGGAATATTGATAGGAACGCTTATTCCATTTCACACTTTCAAAGGGGATGCTGAAAATATTTGTTTTAAGCAAGTTTTATTGGTTTTACTTAAGTGGTTTAGGAGATATGTATATTTAACATATTAAGGGGCGGGGTCACGCCCGCTTTTTAAAGATTTTCAAACCACAATTGCCCTAACCACTATAATACTCTGCGCCAAATACAAGTTTTTAGCTTAATTTGGAGCTTAGTTATAGCAGTTAAGTTTTCGATAAATAGTGTTTAAAGCTGAGACATATTCTAAATTTTTTATATTTTTTCTAAATTGCGTTAATTAACACAGGTCTGCAATGCAATCTTCCTTATGAAAATTAGGTCATATATACCCAAATTTTACCAGATCCAGATCTTTCAATATGATATCGTCTGAAATTTTCTCGTCCTTTAGTTGCAATATTAATGGTTCGAAAAGTGCTCGGATTCAAATTCTGAGTGAATTAAAAATTTATAGTTGGATATCTTGTCTACTATTACCAACGTGCTGCTGATTTTAACAACCTCAATCGAATCATTTTCAAAAAATTTAAGCGCAATCTATAAAAAACCTCAAATATAAAACACGTAAAAATATTTTTAATACATGCATTTTTTTTTTTTGATTTCAGCCGCCAAAAAAGGGTAAAGGAAAGAAGGGCAAGAAGGCGCCAAGTAAGTTACTTTGTCTACTCAATTAAGCTTATTTCTTATTTTTTTTTCGTTTCGCATTCTGCTTAAAGTGAATACTAAAATTATTTGACGAAAGTCTTCGATTGTACTTTTTATATGAATGTGTCACCCTCTTCAAGGTTTAAATCGACAAAAAATATATACTTGTACAGACAGCAGTCAATAGCAAAGGGATAGCCTCGACTCAGGCGACAAGCGCTTGCAATGCATCCCTTTTGCATAATAAATTAAATATTGCAATAAATATGAAAAAAATGCTTTATAGCTAAAACAGTGCTGTCTGACATGCAGCAATGGCATTGCAGCAACGGCGGCATTGACACTCAAAGCTGCAAATGGATATGAAGGGGACAGGCTCAAATAATGCTGCATGCTTTTCGGTGCTTAAATGCATATATATGCAAGAAATAAAATGACTTCGAATGCGCTGCTTACCATGGAGGATGCAGTAATATGGCAATACAAACACGCTTCGTAGGAAACTGGTGTCAGAGAGACAATTGCAGTGCGCCTAAAAGCGCGCTATCAAAAGCATACAATGGTTTCGTGTAATTTACGAGCAAATTTTGAGGCGCCGCGACACGAACAAAAGCCGCACTTTTGGTTATTTTAGTTCGCACCAAATGAAATGCACTTCCGGCTGACGAAGAAGTCAATTGTGTGCGATTTAGTCGTGCTTAGAGCACCGCATAGTTGCAACAAAAACAATAGAGGGGACAATGGCTTATTGACGCTTTTAGTGGCAAAAAAGTCAATGGCTGATAAGCGTTAATGCGGATCAGCAGAATTTTGCGATTTTTATGCCATCAAGCGACAACAATTCGTTTCACTAAAAAAATTTCACATTCATCATGAATACGATATAAATTCGTTATATTGGCGGGCAATAATGCCGCCACATAGTTTCATGTGCTTCGTGCAACATTTTGAATTGGCGACAATGTATGCACATTAAACGTACAACAAAGTGCTGCAACGTACTCGTATTTATGTGGTGGCACATATTGCTACAATTGGTGCACTCGCCGTATAATGCAAGGCAATAAAAGAAATACTCACGCGCTATATAGGTTTGTAGTCGAGCAAACATAAGCCCATGCAGTATGCTTCCCGGTCATTTTGCTTGCCAATTAAACGCACTGCGACACAGAACAGATACCACTTTTACATGCATGTCTATGTATTCATATTTATTTAAACGTATGAGTACGGCAGTTGTGGCAAATGTTGCATGCAACATGGTCGCTATGAAAATTAAAGCAGAGACGAAGTTATAACTGTCGCTGATATTACTTAATTGTTGGTCACTGTCGTAAGCCATTGACTGCTGACCAGTTATGGGCTGGTACATATACATATACATATGTACATACATATATAAACATTAGGGTGTTCGCTATTTTACAAATTTATTTTTTTATTGTAAACGTCTCCTAAATTTTCGGTTGTTGTCCCAAAAAAAGGATTCAACGTAAATAAGCTCTTTCTTTTTAACTTAAATTCTGCCTAAATCATTACTCTTTCCCATGAATATAACATGAAATTTTTTGATATTTTGCATTAAGGAAATATATATAAAACTTAATACCAAACTTTTTTGCTCTACATAAAAGCTCTTAATTATATTTATTACAAAAACATTCTTTCAAAAGTTATAAGCAGTTAAACTTATACAAGAAATATATTGACCATCCATACAAGTGAATTATAAACTGTGTTGCTCATACGACTGGTGTACTATATGAATGCAGTACATTTGATCCAAAATTTGGATTGCGTACAGCTCTTAAAGTAATGCTTTTATGAAAAATATATATAGGACCTTTTCTCTAGAGCGGAAATTTTTGTATTATAATATAATTTTTCCAAAGTTTTCGGCTTATTTACTTTGATGATAAGAAATTTATTGGAAGAGATTAAAAAAGGTGATAAGAAATATATGTAACGGTACAAATATGTTCCCCGATTTAATTATTAGCGACATTTATTATACTATAGTGCTACCAATGGAGTTGCTTCACTTTTATATTGAAAGATATGATAAATTGTTAGCCCACTACGAAAAAGAAGTCAATTTTTATATATTTATATCACATTTACAATGACTGACGCAAATATCATACCGATATCTCAAAAACTGAATGAATAGTTACGTATATGCAGACGAAGAGACGGACGAACATGGCTAAATCGACTCAGTTCTTCATGCTGATCATTTATATATATATTTTATAGGATCGCCAACGATACCTTCTATGTGTTCTACGCTAGAAAATAACGAACACCTTATATAATATAAATAACGTAATCATATTCTTTAGACAGCAAAGAGAAAAAACGGTATAATATTTTATTTAGATAAATTTTAGCAATAAACTAAGGTCATGAAAAAATGCCGGCAGTGTAAGAGAAAAAAGTTTAACTTAGAAGTTCCTAAATTTACTTGCAGATGTGCATCGTATTTATGTTCGTATAGGCTTTAATGGGATCTCCTTTGTTTGTTTGTACTAGCGCCCTGCACTTAGAGTCGCGAGTCAAGTGCGGTTGCAGTGCAGCTGTTGTCTCCTTACTTAATTTTCACAACCGAGCGGATAATTGCTTTTACCACAAGCGACTCGGCGTCAGTCGGATTCTTGGTCACTTATGCGCCCCGTCAACCTAAATATCTATCATAAATTTGATTTAGTAAAAGACTGTATTTAGACGAAAAGGCAAAAAATGTCTTTGACACTTAGATTTTAATAAACCGATGAAATTATCATCTGAATCACAGAAAACCCTTACCACTACTAATTATGAAGCCACGAGTGAAATTATTAAGATTAGATCAAAAAATTATTAATATTATTTTGAGCTCTTAAAAATTATTTTCATATCCTTACATATTAAAAACACCAAAATTGAATAGACTTCAAAACTACGTGACGGATTTGAAAAATTCTTTCACCGTTGAGAAGCTACACTCCCTCCGGTGAACAGAGGCTATATATTATATTTGCAAAAAAGTTAGGGATCTTTACTAAAACGCCAATAATTTAACCGAGAATGTAAAAAATTACCTACAAAATTCCTAACATAGCGTGCGCTGCAAATACTATTGATTACAGAACAAAATAATGTACTACGACTTTGCAGAACATTAAAAATGTCGCGACAGCAAGCGTCTAACTGATATAGTTACGTCACAAGAAGTTTTTATTTAAAAAATAATAATTAAAATGACGCGTCTGTAAAGCTCTTTATTTATACCTTAATATTAACGCTTATCAAAATTAATTACTTCAAATTCAAGACTGATTCAATATCTTTATATAACTTTTTTAAATTAAACGATTCGAACATTCCATTCGAAAGATATCACGACTTTCGCGTGATGAGCGGCGACCCGCTCGGCTAGGTTGCAACATATATTTTCGGTGCAGGCGTCATTGGGCCACGGGCGGAGAGTCAATGTCATAAATTAAAGTGCAGCGGGACTCACTCGCCCAGTTGGCTCTCTACGAAGCGGTCGTGTGCGGAATTGAATATAAATAATATTAAAAGTTCGATGTTTACATCTCATCGTCTACATATATGTATTCGGTCCTCTTTACCCAAGTGAGATGACATATGGAGTGATCTGCTAGTCAGTAATAAAGAAACCAAGGCTTATAAACTCGTATATGTATGTAGGTAGGTAGTATGTTACTGTTTCTAACATTAACTCTACCGGATAGCATGAAAAACTAACATGGCAACTATCAGGTAAACTCTTTTATCTAGAGGTGCTGAAAGAAGGTAGAGTTTCATTGATATTTGTTTACGGTAATAATCCGAAAACGTTGTTTTATATTTATTTCAAGCATCCCTCTATGCAAACTTATAAATATCGCTTTTAAATAATTTATTTATATAGCTTGTCCTAACCTACTAAGTAATGTAGGGCTTTCTCGTTTTCATACGCAACGTCTCCTTTTCATTCCCCTTTTAGCCCTTTAATCAGTAGTAGCCATTATTCAACCATATGTATTTGAGGTTTTTGGAATATAAAATATAATATAATAGATGAAATAAATTAATATCAGCACCCGCTATCACGTATTCCATTTAAGAGGTTATATACTTAGTTATAAACGTTTTCAAAAGTTGTCTCTTAAATCAAATATTCACCAATTTTTTGCAGTTTTTTTCGACGTATATGTTGGTCGGTTTTCAAGCACACTTCACTCTTTAAAATATCTCTATTTGAGTCCCATTTAAGCAACAGTTGCGATTAATAAGGAAACAACTCAGTAAATTTTTTGAGTTTCAAATTTTTTTTCATAGGAGTCTAAAAAGATAGAGAGTGATTCATAAGCAAAACGAAGTATCGAACTTTCATTATAACTGCAACAAGTTCCTCTTTTACGTTCATGACGTCACGAAATAAAATATTTTTTTTTGTAAAACGAACTTCAAAAAACTTAACGTGACGAAGTTTTTGTAAACTCCTTTTCTTTCATTATTTGGTAGGATGGATAATAGCGTGTAGTCTTCAGTATCCAAAGGTATAAACTAAGATTAAGTCTTGTAAGCTAACCTGAAACTATCTTCATCTTACAGCCATTTGCTGTCATTATACAATAAGTAGTTATACATTTTTGCTTTTGCTCACTGGGCAACTAAATGCTTCGTCAACTTCCTCAATTTTACAAATTCCTGTGTGTCCCATATGACCTCCTCTGCCCCACAACCAAAATAATTGCCTAAATGCACATTTCGCGACGAGACGCACTCAACTCCACTTTGCGGTGCCGACTTCACCAGTAAGGTATATATGTATGTAAGTGCTTGCTGGTCAACTACAGCCGAGCACTGACGTTCCGCACCGCAAAAGCTATACCGCCCACCCACACGGTACATTAGCAACTTAGTTACTAAATGCCGTCTCTCGAGGGTGAAGCTACGCAATAATAGCACGTCAACTCATATGTGAAAAGAGAAGCTGCAACAAAAAAAAGTAAACTTAGCAAACTGGAAAAAAGAAAAATAGAAAATAATTGCGCAAATAGAGAACCACATGAAATCATTGCCGCCGGTGGTGTAAGCCACAACAAGTGAAGCGCGTTCAGCGATTGTCCAGCCACATTCGGCACAGACTCCAAACAGTCCAAGGCCAATTGCATCGCTACGTCGAGAAGTTGATTATGCAATAAGTAACAATTAAAAAGCTACACTCCGGTTTTTAAATTTTTATGACAATAAGGTAGCTTTTGTGATGCAAAAAGTTCTTAAATATGCACCAAAAGATCCTCATGTATCGATGAACCGGTGTAGGCCTATCGCAAAGCTGTTGAAGCGGTTAATATTGATCCCAGCAATTTTGTTCAACAAATATATGACTCGCATGTAGCGAAAGCTGGATAGTCGAGCATATCGGAATGTTTCTACCTTGTTCCAGACTACTTTCACAATTGAGGTCCGCCAAAATGTTAAACCATTTTTTTTCGCCATACATAATTTCTAATTCCAGTATAGAATAGAGAATAATACTGCTCTCTTACAAGCCTCATCCTACACTCACCTTACTTAACTGCGTACCGTCTATCTAAGTTCGATTTCTAGATGTAAGTACTTCAGTTTTCGTAAACAGATATCAGCGATCGTGATTGCGAATTTTTTTATTACAAATTTGTCAGAAAAATATTTAAGTTTTATTCCAAAATCGGAATTCAAAATTTGAAATTAAACTTTAATCCCAAATCAACATGAAAAATGTATATAAAATATGTTTAGTTTAAAAATTGTAGGAACCAAAAAAAATCTACTTTTAAATCCAAAGCTGAAATGGAAGGGATAAAAGTATTTCGACCTTGGCGGAAAATGGTAAAAGCAGGTTGTATCTTAAACCTTTTTTCCTGGAAAGCGTTCTAAGATGTAATTTAGTATGTCCCCAAAACACTAGTTTTATTTCTTCGTATTTAAAATTTCCAAAAATATGGATTTTCTCCCTAATTACTTTTTAAGATATGGATAAGTATATATACAAACCCCAAGGGAAGCTTGTCAGTATAGCTTTTTCCACGCAATGAAGACATTCTTTTACTATGTTAACTCTATATAACGTTCTATTTTATGCGAAATTTGTTGTTTAAACTGAGGAAAAGGCGTGGAACTTTATCTGGAACACTCACTGGACCAACTCATTGCTTACGCTTTCAAATCATATATTTGAACGTAAAAAAAAAGAAAATCTTATAAAATTTGACTTCTGTCCGTTGAGAGGCTTAACTGCTAAATTTTCCACTGTCCAAAGAACCATACAAATTTCGTTTTTGTACTGGATATTGTTTTCTGAGGTAGGTGAATTAAGCAACATAACCAATGTTATAACTGTCAACAGGAACGTTTTAACCATAAATCGAGTTCTGTAACTGCTATTTTGTTACAGTAAATGTTTCATTTGTTTGACTTTCCTAAACCTCATTTGATATGAAGGAACTTGGAGATGTTCCTCCCAATACAGATGAACTTCCAGTGTTGCTCAATGCCATTTTGCGAGCCTCATAGGTAACTGCTTATTCTAAAACTAATCTATAATAGTTTATACACCCTCATTACTACTTGTCAAGACCATGAAAATATGAAAGCCCATAGTACATTGTTACAACAACGACCATTTCAATTAAAACTCATTTATTGGTAATTATTAAGTGATACCATTTACTTTGAATGGCAGTAATAAAGTCATGATTTATAACGATTTCACTTAATAGCATTCATAGCTATGGTCCCACCCACAGCGCTTACTCTCATTTATGGTGTCACACACATACTTCCAAATAAGCGCATAGTTCCTGTCCTGCTGAGAAATTAGTTGCAGCACGAAATGGTATTTATAATGCTCACAAACCCAGTGCACTCAAAGCATTCGAGTATAAAAAACAACTTCAACACATACTTAACCTAATTCGACAAGCTTAAATGAATTTCAAATCATCATGATTCGATTTCGATTAGCTGCAATTGAATTCGCTTTCTATGCTTTCAGTGTTAATTGATGGCGTGGACACGTCCACCATGACGCGAGACCAGCTGGAGCAGTTCGCGTTGAAACTGAAGGAGGAGATGGAGCGTGAACGTGAAGAGCGAAACTTCTTTCAATTGGAACGCGACAAAATACGCACATTCTGGGAGATCACTAGGGGACAGTTGGGTATGCCAGCAATCATGACAATTAACAGGGATGATTTAGACGCTTTCTAATTCGTATGCATTTCCAATATTTGCTGTAATTTAATGTAGAGGAAACCCGCTATGAGGTTCGTCACAAGGATCACGAAGTGGAGATGGCACAAGAGCTGGCTGATGTCGACACAAAACATATTATGCAACAAATGAAGCATCTACAGTATGAAAACCAAAACAAAATTGGCGAAATACGTGCCGAGGCCATGACACAGCTCAAGCTAGCACAAGAGGATCATGTAGCACAGGAGCAGGAGTTGCTGAAAGATAAGCGCGATTTGCGACGTCTATTGCGGGAGCACGATGAAACGCATGAACTGCAAATTCAGCAGCTGAAGATGAAACATAACGATGAGATGGCGTAAGTAGATATTTCATCAATTTTTACCCTTTAAGCTCCAACGAGTCAAGCCGAACGCAGCATTATGCACTCTCTACTCAGTATCTTTTATATTTATAGTTATGCAAGATAATTAACCAATCGTAAAAGTCTCTTTGACAAACACTTTAGAAAAACCAGGGTAATATTCTGATCAAATTTAATACGGACTGGCAAACCAAAAGGCTTATGAATATGACGCCGAATCTGTCCAATAATCTAACGAATGGCATTCCAAAAATGAGCCGAAACCGAAAAATCGCTGGAGGCCATTCCACCCGTGGCTTATAACAAGTATATGAAAAATTCGATTAGGGGTTGGCATGCTTCTACTGGGGTCAGGAACCTATTTTGAAGCAGATAATGAATATTAAAAAAATAAACAAAGTACGAAAATTTTTTGTTTTTTTGGTTTTTTGACAGTCCGGGTCAAATTTAATCGGATTATATGGATCTAGTAAAACTGACTAAATCTTCCCACCATATCCTTATACTCCTAATGTAAACTGACAATGTAGATTTAATTTCTTTTCGCTTTCAGCGAAGCGCGCATACAATTCCAACGAGAAGCAAAAGATATGGAACTACTACATGAAGAGAAAATGAAGGCGCTGAAAAACGAAGTCGAACTGGTGTACCGCATGCAAATGTTTGAGGTTGAGGAACGTAAAAACACACAAATTCAACGTTTGATTGAAAGTCACGACACCGCCTTCAATGACATGAAGAACTACTACAATGACATCACGCTGAACAATCTGGGTCTCATCAGTAGTTTGAAAGAACAACTTGAAGCGTTGCGTAAACAGTCCGAACGCAGTGACCGTACAGCCGCTGAAATGCTTGCTGAAAATCGCAAGCTAAAAGAACCGCTCGAGGCAGCTCAAACAGAACTTTCCGATTTGCGTCGGAAGATGGAGCATTTCGAGCGCGATCGCAATCAACTGGCGCGTCTCAAAGCACGCAATACTTATATAGAAAAGCAGTTGAAGGCGCTGACATGGGAGACCGAAACGCTGCTATTGCGTAACGACACGCTCAAAAAGGAGCGCGAAGAACTCAAATTGAAATTCGACGATGTCGTTATGGAGCTGCAACAGAAGACAGGCTTAAAGAATGTGCTGCTTGAGCGCAAGATATCCATGATGGAGCGTGAGGGTGAGAAGCGCGATTTATTGCTCAAACAAACACAAATGATCTGCGGCGCTTCCGGCGATGTTACACAAAATATGCAGAAACAAATTAATATGTCGTTGGATGAGAAGAATAAATTAATTGACGAGCTGCGCTACGAGCTGGTGCGCGTCAGCAAAGCGCACGATGATCTACTCGCCACGTACGAATCCAAGTTGACGCAGTTCGGCATACCACAGGATGAATTGGGCTTCGAACCGCTGCGCCTGTCAGAGAAGCATCGTTATTTATGCGGACCAGCTGGCCTGGTGACCAAAAATCAATGAAGAACTCCTGCCAATATGTCAACGATGCAAACACGCTTGTCGGTTTGGCATGTTTCTTATTTTCGTTCTTTTTTTTTTTTGTTTTGTTCGTGCACTTTGTATACGCTTTAAGCTGGCATTAACGCGAGAGGCTAATGGACTGAATGGAAGGTAGTATTTTGTTAACTTTTGAAACATACAAGCAAGCATATTTTTTAAAATATACATACTACAAATATACGAGTCTGTGTGCGTAGCTGTGTGCCATACTTTTATATGTTGCTGACTTTTTTCACATTTTGTTTTCTGCCTCTGTTCAATGGATGAATGGAACTTTCGCTTTATGTGCGATGATTTACTGGCACACTGATGCGGCTGCAGGCATACTCGTTGTTGTACTGCAACAACACTGATAACATGTGGAGTCGATGGCGGATGGTGAGGTGGCATGTCGGCGTCAGTTGCATGCCAGCAAGTACATTATTCAAAAATTCCGCTATGCACTAGATGTGGTAATGGTGTTGACGTTAACGGTGTTTTGGCTGCAGCAGATCTTGGCCATTGGCCAACAAAACGGTGCAGTGGAGTGTACTGAGCAAATAAACGCTCTTGCGGCAGCGGCAACGCCAGTTGAACTTGAAAATGACACAGCAGAAACATGATAAATTGTAAGTTGAGGGAAAAGATAAGAAGATGTGTTTTTAGGACGAAGAGGGTTTGAAAATTATTTCTTCAGGTGGGATTTTTTGGTGCCTAAGGAACTTCGGTAGAAAATATTCGTAAGTTTTTTTTTGTCAGGTTTTCTCTACCCGGTTGAACACAGACAATGAGCAGAAGATTTTTACGCAACGAAACCGCGATTCGGAGGTCAATTTTCTAGGCAATCCATTTTACTAATGTTTCCTTTGGTGTCACGCAATATTTACATCTTTCTCAACTGACTTCGTTTCTGTGTAGAGTAGAGCTAGAGTCTACACTCTAGACTAGTAGACTCTAATCGAACTCCAACATCCAAGCCTAACTTAATGTCGGAAGTAATACTTTAACCTTTATGAAAAATGGACTAGCTGTTGGATCACAGAAATTTCTTTCGGAAGCTCTAGTAGAAATGCTTAGCATGTATTGGAATCAAAACTCTATCTGGATCACCGGGTTTAATATTTCTTACTGTTTGATGAGACCTGGAAAAAAATCACTTAAGGACAAAAATCAAAGATCGGGTGTTAATTTGTCAAAGGACTGGGTTTTTCGTAATTTTGTTTACTTTCCGAATAGATTAATATTCCAATTGTGTAAGACTACTGGATTATAGTTGCCGGTATACTTCAGTCCGCTACTATAACTGGACTCTGCTTTGCGGATGGCTTCTTCAGTCAATAGACTTGTAAACGAATGACTAGGTAAAGTGGTATAAAAAAGCCACAAATTAAGATACTAAACTGTCCATTTCCACGACAGTCGGGTCTACGTAACCAGAACGGATCCGGATTTTTATCCAACCAAGGACTGTCAACTCGGCAGAATTCTTACTCCCCATTTAATGGTTATGTTTCAAAATGTAGAAAGTACTAACTAAATAAATACTTTAGAAGCATGAAATTTTACTGCCAAGATGGTACGGAAGTACTCTATTGAAATCAGTGTAAACATTGATCAAAGGGAGTGGCGCCGCCCATCTTTAGGTGAAATCTTCTATCTCACGAACTACTCGACCAATTTGTCTGCATCACATTAGCCTGACATCCTTATGTTATAGTGTGAAAACGAGCTTCGACTGCAATCACGGCTACTGCGCATATAACACAATTTTAAATTTCATCTTGCTCTTTCACATTACAGTGTATAAATCAGGTATCAATGAAGGCATCTGGATAAAACTCAAATAGTACCTTCAAGGTATGCCATCTCGAATCAAAGGAAAACATCCGTCAGTCTGTGAGATATATTATTGAAATTCAGAGGCCGTTTTTTTATATTAATAATATGTCCTTATACCTTATACCCGGTTCAAATTTCCCCTAAACCCCATATACCTAAAATAAAGATCTTCAAACTTCTGGCGAGCATTATACCCTACCGGTCGCTGTTGTAGATCCGGGCCCACCCTAATATTTTATTTAATTACTATGTTTATTTTACAGTTGTATGTTTCAATTCCAATTTCTTTATATGCTCTTCAATTGTCTCGCATTCCATTTAAATACATACATTTCCCGCTATACAGATTCTGTTTCCTTATTTGTGCGATTTATATGTTTGCCATTCACCCTTTGCATAAACAGGTACATTTGCTAAGTTATCTACATGCTTGTTGTTTGTAAACTGTAGTGTGCAGTTCCCCTATTCTCCTGTGCTGATCTGTACGGTAACTGACAATATTTGCGCATATAAGTTCTGGCAAATCATATTCGAGCTTTGTCATCGATCAGCCAGCCAGGAAGGTGGAAGGACACACTGCGGTAAGTGAAATATATTATAATTCTTTGTAAGTGCATAATTTAAATGATTGTGTATTTAGAAATAAACCATAAACCAAATATACCAAAAACCCAGCCAATGTAATCAGTGATTTACCAGCCGCTCCTACAGCCACCGGGGCCATCACTCAAGGATCATCAGCTGCCTTCGCACGTCAAGAAAATGTTATTTCTGCTTAACAGAAACGCATTGCCATGCTATAGAGTAGTTTGTGTGATATTAGGGAGCACCAATCGCGTGGTGAAATGTCTAATTTGGATACATCCATCAACAATGTTGCTGCCGAGCTTCCATTATCGCAAACATCGAGGACAACAGTACAATTGGGAACCGTTCAATTAACAAAAACATTCGCCGGCTATAGTGAACTGAACAGTACCCTTGTCGCAGCCTACCGATTCCCGTTACACTCCGCCAAACTTTGGAATAGGTACAGCTGCTACAAACCACATGTACAGTACAACTCATTTAGGGATGGATTCACCTTCGATCCAGTCTAATTCAACGACAATGCCTACATTCGCCAATATAAGTTCTACAGCCGCTTAGTGATCGAATTTGCCCAGGATATGCCAGACTTTTCTGGACAGCTGGAAATGGCCAATATATTATACGGCTTTCATCGAGTCAACCGCGATGTATGGATACAGCAACTACGAAAATAACCAACGGTATATCGATCGATAATATAATTGATTTGGTAAAATTTATATTTGGGCGCCCGGAGCAGTTGATCCGTAGCCAACTGGCCCACGTAAAGGTAAGGCACCTATTTCGGAGAATGTAATGTCGAAAATCATACCATTTGCAACAATCTACACATGGTGGGAAATTACATTTGTCAAACTCTACATTACTCGACGAACTTGTGTCAAAATTGCCTATGAGCGAACGCGTTGAGTGGGCAAGTTTCGCAGCGCTTATACAGCCATATGCAACAGTGAAACATTTCAGTGAGTAGTTATCGAAATTAGACAATATAATTTGTACGGTTTGTGTTGATATTTCGTCCAAGGAATGGAAGTACCGCCCGGTTCTGCACACAGTACAGCAGCAACGATCAATGAGATGTGCAATTTGTCAGGGGCATCATAAGCCAGCAGAGTGTGCGCGTTTTTCAGTGCCAAACAGATGGATAGAGGCGAAACGACATCGCTTGTGTTTTGCTTGTCTCAATTCGGGTCACAATGCACGAAATTGCCAACGTCGCAAGCTATGTTCAATTCAAGGTTGCCGGAGAGTGCATCATAATCTCCTACATGAAGCCGTGAGGAATAGTACAAATTCGCGAAGTCAATCAACCACGCCTTTCTCTCCTGCGTATACTCAAGCAAATCGTAGGCCTACATCCACGCAGCATACACTCGACAGCCAGCGGTCTTAAGTTGAAGTTCCATTGATAGTAAGCTTCTGTTCCGTATTTTGCCGGTCACCCTATACGGAAACCAAAGGCGTGTGGACACCTACGCACTCCTGGACGAAGGTTCATCCATCGCAATGATAGACAGTGTTCGAGACTTGGGGATGCGTGGATGTGAGCAGCATTTGAATGTTCAGTGGTTTGGAGGACATGCCGCGCAGGAGTCAACGTTTGTGGTAGACTTGCTTATTAGTGGTGCCGGTATGCAAAAACAACACAACCTCCGCAATGTGTATGCTGTACCAAACTTGCAGCTTCCTCTACAGAGTTTAAGCAAGGACGATTTGAATCACAACTTTAAACATGTAACCTTATGCCCAGGTCAGGCCCAGACTCTTGATTGGTCTTGATCATTGCCAATTTGTTTGAGATTGCCATCGACAACTATGAAGGTAAACCCGCATGGTCCATTTATTGCCAATACAGAGTTGGGATGGGTGATGTTTGGCCCAACTTCAACTACGCTACCATCTCCAGCATCGTGTTTGTTTATGAACCGCCAAGCTGATCAGTCTTTCCACAATATGGTAGCTGACTTCTTCAAGACCGAGAATTTCGGTGTCAGAGCCGCACCCATGGACATCATGAAGGACATCATGAACGCCTACGTCAGAAAGAAATATGCTCGTAAATTGTCACCAGTAGAAGCAGCTATATCCCCTAAGACTTGGTATTTGCCGCACTTTGCCATTGCCAATCCCAACAAACCCGAAAAGCTATGCATGGTATTTGACGCCGCTGCTGAGGTAAGAAGGGTCCACAAAAATATCGGCCTTTGCCGTCGATATTATTCCACTTTCTTGAAGGCGTGATCGTCGTATGTGGAGACATCAAGGAGATGTTCCACCAAGTCCTTATACGAAAAGACGATAGATGCGCACAGCGGTTTCTCTGGCGTGGTGGTGACGCTTCTCATCCCCCGAACGTTTACGAAATGTGCGTGATGACATTTGGTGCTGCCTGTTCACCATGTGCCTCAGATTATGTCAAAAAAGTAATCGCATTGGAGCACCAAGATGATCGCAGCACCACTGCCCGTGCGGTTAAGGCGATAATGGACCACCACTATGTCGATGACTTCGTTGATAGCTTCTGCTCGGAAGAGGAGGCCATCTCTATATCCCAAGAGGTCCGAGCGAGTCATACGGATGCTGGTTTTGAGCTTTGCAATTTTACATCCAAAGCATCGAAAGTAGTTGACGCACTCAACGGTACTGCTGTCTCACGTCCAATTGATAATAAAGAAGGTTTCGTTGGAGAGCGGGTACTTGGTTTGTTTTGGCAGTCATCGTCAGTATGCGTTAAATTCGCCCCACCTCATCGGTGACAGTCGCTAATTAAGATATATTGAAAAGTTAAGTGATCGTTTAATATTAGATATACTACAAGTATAGTGTGGTGCCAAAAATGGTTAAACTAGGTTCAGCAATTAACCCAGATCTCATTTAATGATAATCATAAATATAATGATTTTCGATTTTTAGCAGACTTGTTTGAGTTGTTGTAGCGGGAGAAAACATCCCTGAAGTAATTTGGAGGAATGCTGCTGGGTTGACAATCCTTTGTCGGATAAAAATCTGGGTCCGTTTACCCAACTGTCGAGGGAACGGTGAGTCTTTATGCCCAATATATCGGTCAATGTGTAAATTGTCTTTATAAAATTGCATGTAAACATATTCTTGAGTGTACTTAAGTAATGCCAAAAGTTAGTTCAATCTGTTTAGACCTCACTCTAGCCTCAATATACCCGCTTAGTGATTTCCAACTTCACAGCTCACTTTATGATTTCACTGTTAAGGGTATAAAAAAATGCTGAGATTATTAGGAATATATGGTTTTTTACGAAATCTTAAAAATATTTTGTAATATAATAAATAATTTTATTTTGCTCTATTCTATGTTTAAATATAAAGTACATATAAAAGATATATGAATAACTTAAAAAAAGTTTCTTACCTAAAAATCATTGGAAAATTACGTAAATAAAAGTGGTTGACCCCCACAAAGTGCATTTTACTTTCTATTACATAAAATTAAGTTATTCGCTAAGTGGAACAACTCGGTAAGTTGAGTGAGTGTTTTTATGTTAAATTAAAACTATCTGTATGTGTAATCTATGATTCATATATACGTAATGGGTATCCTATATACTAATAATTAATATCCCCTTAAAAGTAATAATTATTTAACTGAACAATTATAAAAATATTAAGAATTATGAACATGGTTTAAAATTTCCATTTTCAAACTCTCCTGCACTTCCTCTGATTTCTTTTGCAGAAGTTCGTCCAAAAAAGTTAAAAATGCCTTATTTTTGGACTCTTCTTTAGCAGAGATCACTCTCTCGATAGTCCCACAAAGGCGAATGAAACGTTCGTGTGCACCCTTGCTTTCCTGCACTTCCTCTGATTTTTTCTGCAGAAGTTCGTCCAACATGGCTAAAACTGCCTTATTCTTGAACTCCTCCTTCTTAGAGAACACCGTCTCAACATTGCTACAAGGATGACTAAAAGGTTCGAGTGTCTCCTCGTACAGCCGCTGACGTTTCGACCGCTTTTTGGATCTCGGTGCCTCGATGCTGCTTTCGCTCTCATTTAGTCCACTTTCGTCCTGCAGCGATTCTACCCACTGGCAATCAGTGGTTTGATACGAGTCGCTCTGTGGTGTTTCGGGTGAATTACTGTAATTTAGCTGATCGTCGATGGACCATTGTGCATTGCCTTTCGTTCTGCAAATAAGAATAGAATAACACTAATATACATAGATAGTTAGATACATTAATGTATTTGTAATTTACTTTCTGGGATTAACGTGTTTCGTTAAAAAACGCATTAACTCGAAATAGCTCCACTCATTCTTCTCCTCCGCAGCATCCTCCGACTTCGATTGCTGCGCCACCACCTCCCGCACAAATCGGTCACGTAGCGACTTCCAGCGCTGTTTACAATGTTCAACTAATGAAATAGAGAAATATAATAACATTTTTACTAGCAATTATAAAAATAATAAATACTAACTTGAGGCTCCCGTTGCAATTGACGCTGTCTGCCACGCTTGCTCCTTCAACGTTTTGTCCCGAAAAAGAAGCGAGCTTTTATCGAAGAGACACGGGTGCAATTTAACTGTCTCGATTAACTTCTCCTCCATTGTTTTCTCCTCCATTATTTTCTCTGAATATTATAAAATACTATTGTATCTAAAATTTATTGTTAATTTATTTTATTTACGTTTTTTGTTTTGTGCGGTACGAATTAAGAGAAATAGAAAACAAAAGAAAAGAAATAACAACAGCTGATTTTCAACGCATTAAAAGATGAGGGTTGGCCAGCATTTTGCTTCGCTTTGCTTCGTCTCGCATACTTGTATGCGAACATACACAGACAAAAACATACCCAGCAGTCACCTATCGGTTAAATAACTTGAAAACTAGTCAAGAGCGCACACATAAATTTTTGGTAAAGTTTCTGAGTTTAATAAGGCCGAATTGACAAATCTAACCGAAACTGTTGTGAACGTAAGAAAGAATATTAGCAAGAAAACTAACTCATACACACATATCAACTCACTTACCCCATGTTTAAGAAAGCAATAACCGATCAGACGTACTCTAGTTTCGGTTAGTTTTGTCGGCTGGGTTTTAGAATAGCATCTCCCGAAACCGGACTTAAAATTGATATGAGCGGATAGAGAAAGCTCTTTAGATGTATCTTTCATATATATATATATATGATACTTATAAATTTGCAGATATTAAGTTTAAAGTATGCAATATTTCGGTTTATATTGCAATTTACACTTATATTGTTCACAGTTATATCCACTAGAAAGTAAAAGAAGATGACTCTAGCTGTCCAGAATGCACAAACAAGCTGTTTCCCTTATTATTATTGTATTAGTGCTTGAATTGTTTTTAATAAATATTCATACCTTTACGATCCGAAAGTGATATACTTGTATAAAAACACTCCCCAATGTCAATTTTTCTTGCGTGAGAAACATTGGAACAATAATTAAAACACATTTTGGTTTTTGCTTTTCAGCTGTTCGGATGTGTATTTTTTAAGTCGGATTTTTTAAATTTATTGAACAATATTCAAATAAATGTTAGATTGAAAATCATTTCACACGATTTAAATAAACTTAAACTTTCCTGATGAAATCATTACAATAGCAGTAAAAAAATTTTCTTTGTGAAAAAAATTAAATATGGTAACTTCATAAACTTATTTGCAGTGTAAAAAATTCACCAAATTATGTAATGTAACAAATAAATTAAAAAATAAATTCGTACTTTTTAATTAATTTCCAGCAAATAAATCACTTTTGTGCACATATTAAACATAAGTAGAATTCATAATTTACAACAAAAAATATAAAACTTATATATCAAAAAAGTTAATACAACTCGAATTTTTGTATATAAAATTATTCAGGCTGTTTTTTTTGTTTTTCTCGAGAAAATTCATGTCATGTATGTATGTATGAGTTTTGGCTTTCGTTTTCTTTTAATTGTAATTTTTTTTCTTAAATGTTCATTAAGTTCGTTTTGTTAAATGCTAATATCTATGCAGATAGAATATTTTTAACTTTAAGAAAATTTTATGCTTTATAATTAGCAAGTCCTTTTCGTATTTAAACGTATTTTTTTTTTTTTTTTTTTTTGTAAATTAATCGCTTAGTAATTTTTTTCTTATGTTTACATCGAGAATTCGAATATATGTATACTTATATGTGTATGTATTTCTGATGTAGCCTTATAAATTAATCACTTTTAAACTTTGCTTCTAAACTAAATACTCTCACTTTTGCGACTGCGCGCCCGTGAAAACATTAATTCCTCACATTTTCAACTATATACTTATGTATGTATATGTAAATACTTAAACAAGTTTTCAGTGTGAATATTAGGAGTTTACAAAGTTGCAAAATTAAATGTTTTCGTTTTAAAGTTGCTAATATAAGGATAAAAACTATATTTTCTGACAATAAAATCACGTTCGGCATTATGACGTTATACTAAACATGTTTTCATTCATACACATTATTTAAATTAAATTAAATTAAATTACAAATTTAAATTGTTTTCTGGTGTACAGTTTGATATTTGCCTTTGCTACTTTTTACTTAATTTATTTTAAATACTCTTACAATGTTTTTGAAAAATATCACACAGTTTTCAACGTTCAACGGTTCTATTTTTTAATATGTTCCTTTTGCTCTTTGCCTTTTTGCGCATAACTGTGGGTGTGATGACTTTTTTAGTCCCTTTATGTGTGCTTTTATGTGTGGTGTCTGTCTGCTGCAACAATTAAACACTTTTTCGCGTGTAACAATTTCATCGTTATTTTCTTATTTGTTTTAGTTTATAAAGCATTAATAGCAGAAAAATATTACTTTTTAATTGTTTGCATGCATAATTTAGTTGTAAAATGAAAGCAAAGTACGATTTTTTAGATTTGTTCTTAATTCTTTAAACTGCTATTTCATTTGTTTCTTGTTGTCCTTGTTTTTGTTTCGTTTATGTGCTTTGCGTAAATTTTGAGGATTTATCGGATTTTTGAAAGGTACTTTTCGGTTTGCGCTTGATTTGTTAACACTTTTGCCTAATATTGAATATTTTTGTTTTTAATTGTTTTATTTCCATGTAATTTCTTATATTATTGTTATTGCAAATTCATTCGATTCGGTAACACAAGACACGGCAATCTTTGCTTGCCAGCTATTTATTTTAGTTTTGCTTTTTCGTTTTGGTATAAATTCTATTTAGTTTCGTTTTAATACTTTTAATTTAATATCGTTCGTTAAACGTTTAATTTTTGCTTTAAATTTCTTAGCGATCACAACGGTTTGTTTCACAGATGAGTGTTTTTTTTTTTTTTTGGAAATTTTGCAAATTTCTATGTTTACTTAAATTAATATAACAATAAAATCATATACATAGACATGTATGTGGTGTTTATATTGTAATTTTTAACTATAATTAGCAATACCATTTTCTTCAAATAAGTAGTTCGGTAGCAACAGTTTGTTAGTTATAATAAAGTATAGGTTAGGTTGAAATAATAATATTAATTCAGTTTTATTGTTCTTTGTTAATTAATTTACAACAATACAACTTGGCGGTTTGCTTATTTTAGCCGAACAGTATTTAATCGTTTTGTTATTACTATACAGTCTGATTTTTCATATGTAAATTTTGTTCGGTAATTTTTCTTTTTGAAATGGCACGTTACCTCCAAAAAATTTCGTTTACTTATGCATGTATTTGATTTATCGAATAACTGTTTCTATATATTTTCTATTATGTTGCTATATAACCAGTTTTTGTTTAAAGGCAGTCGAAGATTCAGTTGCTTGTCAATACAAAAATTTCACTATTTTATCAGATAATTAAATTTATTTAGTTTATTGTTCCTCCAGTTGCAGTTGCGTATGTTACGAAAATGCTTTCGTCTAATACCAAGTACTAACTTCCCAATGCACTTGCAGTGTGTGGCTGTGTAGTCAGTCTGTGTGTCTGGTCTATATATTGCATGTTACAATTGGAATTTGGCAGCATTTTTCTGATATAAATTTGTATTTCTTCATTTCAAATTTCTTAACTATGTCTATATGGAATTTATTATTGCGCAACCTTTGCTATGATTATGTATTCAAGTTTAAAATAAATATATGAGATTCGTCACTAAAATATTTTACAATTTACATTAAGGCTATTAGGTAATTGTAAAAACAAAATATAAATTTAATTACAAATGAGTTGCAAAGAAATTTCATTTATTATATATATTCTATATTCCATTGATTTTGTGTAGCAAATTTCTCATGTTGTTTGAAGTGTGTTTTTGTGTTTTTAAGTGTCTAATGATGTTATGTTAGCATGCATAAATTTTTATGTAGCAATAATTTATAATCACTTGTAAATATTAAACAAATTTCGAGTTTGTCAGTACAGTTTACTATTTACTATTTCGAATCAGTTCAGTTTCAATATCAGTTTTTTACGCGTATTTGTTTCCATAAAACATTTGAATTTCATACAAACATATATTTGTAAATATATATACATACATTTTATGTATGCGTGATTATGTGTCGTGCGTGTATATGTGCCAATAATACACGCTTCGCTTAAAATACCATTAGCATAATGCTCCTCATTTCATACAAAGTATAATTAAATTTACAATAATTTAGTTTAATTAGGTTTAACTTAATTGGTAGTTTGCATTTCGAATTGTTTGCGATTTTGCAGTTTAAGGCATTTCAGTTTAGCATCCATATTGGTACGTTACGTCTATGATTTCGTTCAATTTTGATTGATTGTATCCATTCAATGGTATTGTGTTCAAAATTTTCAATTGTATGGTTTCTTTGCGTTTGTTTGTTTGGCTTTATTTTAAACATTATTAATTTAAAGCACGTTTTGAACGGTTGCACATTAACTAGTATTATATAACAGAAAATGATTGAAACAATTGAGACAAGCATATATTTTAATTACTTTGTAATTAATGATAATTCTAAAATAAAGCTTAACGCTTAATAATGTTATCGCAAAGAGGAGGTATGTGTGTGTTTGTAGAAAGAAAATTAACAGCATTAATTGAAATGAAATAAACAGAAAAATTAGGAATTGGAAAACAAAAAACACTTACTCAAAGCCCTAGTAGAAAGAAAGAAACTTCACTACAATTATCTTTCATATATGTATGTATATGTATGCGCACTACAAGCTATGATATTAATTACGTAATTAGTTATACATGGCTTATTGCATGTAAGTAGAACATTTAAATGTTATCGTTAGTATAAGTAAGTATGTATGTATGCACTAAGCAACTAGATTAATTATAATGCACTCGTAATACTACATACAACTTATGTGTGGGTGTGTTTAGATTCAAATCACGTCCACTACCACCAAACTTATCAAGTGAAATCATTTATTACGCTTACCGCTAAACAAAATGCGAAAAAAGTATGTTTAATATATTTCACCCACACCTTTTTTTCACTATGCCTAATGCGGATACCGTTTTCAATTTGCTGCGTTCTGCCGTCAAAATTATTTCGGAGCTTGTCTTTAACCGAAACGATTCAAAGCGAAATTGTTTATCAAATTCGTAGTGTGCTCGTCTAAACCGCAAATTTCAAGCATGTTTTCGTTGCGTGTTTCTGAATAACGCATCGACTTGCGGAATTTCAATAAGTCCAATATAACGAACCTATGAAATAAAATAACTTAGTTAATTGCCAAATTTTGGAAAAGTATGCGCAATTAAAAATAAAAATAAATATTGCAACTAAAAATATATAAACATTGCAACGAAACTAAATTCACATACTTTTCCTACAAATAAAAAGAAAAATACACTTATATACTCACTTTGCCTTTGGGTTCTTCTTTTCGCGATATTTGTCTAAAAATTTGCAAAGCAAGTCGGAATTATTTTTTGGATTACCGCGCCCAGCTGTTGGTACAATAACGAGAAATACATCATACACCTGCTTACGTTCCATAGCACGCAAAACGGGGGTTATAAGACGTTGGCTGGTTTTTGTAATCTACATTCAAATAATTAAGTATGAAATTTTCGCAAAATTAAAGCAATTATAGTGCCTAAAACTTACATCCAACAAATCACAATAGTCAATCGCATCTTCTACAGTTATACCATCCTCCCAGGGCATCTGACCCAAAGCAAGCTTATCACCGATCCAGTAGAACACATTGACTTCCTTTTCTCTTTTATAGTAACCGAAAGCCAAAGCTATTGCAGCTTCGAGAAATCCCAATTTTTTGTGATTCTTCAAAGTTTCTGAAAATATGCATTAAATTTGGCAATTTTTCGTGTATATATATAAACAATAAAACACTCACTTTTCCTATAATTTTTTTGTATATTTATTGTGATGTGCATACGCAAGCCGGTGCTCTGATTGTTGCCAAATGACTGCTGGTATAGCTGCTTGAATAGCGGCATTTTCAGAGCTTCAACTCGCTTGGGTGCCAACTAGTTAATTTAATATAATTACTCTTGTGTTTTAAATCTCGCCATTGCAGTTATACTTACTTTTGCTATATCCTCACGCATACCCATGTCACGCATTTGCATCAGGAACACAATCGGATGAATATTGTCCTTACGCAATAGTTTCTTATTTTCGAATAGTGTCTGGCACAATTTCATTATTTTTGGATTATCAAAATGATATCGTGCCAAATTGCGCCAACTCTTCAACAGTTGCAAATATGACATAGTTGGTATTAACGCTTCCATAATTGGGCCGAAACGCAGTAAATGATTGGGCACTTGATGGTAGCGTAATTTGAATTTGCGTATAATTTTCAATGCCTCTGTTTTATTATTGGTTGTACGTAATTTGCTGACGGACAAGATGACGGACGATGGCAATTCCGTGTTACTTTGTGTTTTTTCTACATCTGTGGTGGCTGTCTTTTCAATTTGCTGCATTTCATCCACATGTGGCTTAGCGTCTGAGTGATTTTCAATAGTTGCGGTTTCCTCACTTGATTCAGATGATTTAAGTAATTCTGTACATGTTTTGAAAAATGGTGTAACAGTACCCACAGCACCGATCGTTTCGTCGTTAATATGACATAACTTAATAAGCGTTTTGTGCGTAAATCCATGTGCACCGCGATGCGTAAGCCACATTTGACGTAACTCTTCGGGTGATTGATCTTCATACCAAGCTGTAATGGCTTTCCGTGTCGTATTAGTGAAGCCTTTATGTTTCAATTCCCGCTGAATGAGCATTGCGTATTTGCAAAACATAAAAAGGTCTTCATCATTTAGTATTAACGCCGGTAAGGCTTTACGCACTGATGTTTTCCATTTTATGTCAACGTCACTAGCTAAATAAGCTGCGTATACGAAAAGCGGCTATTTGAGAGGTTATAAAAACAACAACAACAAAATTACAGTAAGTGTGGAATAGAGAAATTTTTCATATTCACCTCATCGCGTCGCACGAGTGTAGTTTCCTGTAGTGCTTGTCGCAAAATTAGAAGCATTGCTACGTCATCCAGCGATTTGCAGAGCACTTCTAATTGCGGCCAGTACTGCCCAACATTGATCGAGCCTCGCAGATGTACATATACGGGTTCAAACCTGCCAAGATAGCAGAAGCGCCGAATCTTATCTTTTCCATCCAAATCCATCAGTTAGCTTTTTAAAACGCAGTATTTTACACCCAGCTGCATTGTGATGACGAAAAAACAAATAGTATAAAGAATACATTAAACGTACATGGAGCCACTTACAATGCCAAAGCCTTCCAAGTTATCGAAACCGCCCGCTTTCACTGTCTACTCTTTGCTTTCCTGATGTCTACGGCCACAGCCCAAATTGAGGCACGCAAAACCTAATTCTTATCTCGAAGCGAACCTAATTCACCGGGTACAGGCTTTGTCGTAAATATTATCGTACTTGTTTAAGATTTTAAAATGTAAAAATGGTAAAACTCAAGAATAAAATGAAGAAATGTGCAAACAGCACAAAACGTAGTCAAGGATGAAATGATGCGAGACTCTTTGAATCGAGAGAGAGCTGTCAAAACCCACATTTTTTATAACATTTGCCAATCATGCCACTGTCGAACGAAAATGGATTGGGTATTATAAAAAAAACTTGGGGGTATTTTGCATTTCGATATTATTTTTAGGTGCTCCGTCCCCAAGTAGGCCTATATAACGCATATACATCCCTATATACTTGTATTTATATTATAAAATTTTTAAAAATGCATATAACATAAAAAATTAGCATATAAATAAAAAAAATTATAACAAAGAAACAATACAAGTCATAATAAAATATCATGGTTTTATAATGAACGTTTTAAATTAAATTAACAAATAAAATTTAGTTGCACGTTATTCAAAAGTATTTGTGTCGTTCTTTTCGCACTGCTTTTGTTAGCTATTTTTAGCGGGTTTATTTCTGGCATCCCGCCTTTTTTGACATCAGCTGTTCGAAATTCCCTGATTTTAATAATCAGGGAAAGAGAATAACAGAAAAATCAGCGAAAATGAGAGAGTCTCGCATCATGTCATCCTTGACGTAGTGAAATTCAAATTGCAATAGCTTTACTTTATTTTGGGATGACAAAGGTTCGTCAGAACTAATCGATAAACGCAAAGGGGAACCAAAGACAATTTCGATAATTGTGTTGTTGTAAACACATGGACAAATTGTAGTTCAAATTTCGAAGAACTACAATACTTGCAGTAATATTTAGGAATAAAGAACTGTTTACGAAAATCAAGTTGGTTGCAATTAATTTTTAGTCCCCCAGCTGTGTAAATATACTATTTTTTATTAATTGGTTATCGATTTTAGATATGACAAGTAAATTATGATGTTCGTTCTTTGCACATTCCCATTTAGAAACAGATGACATATAAAATTATACAAAACAGAAGCTAAGAAATTTCCTATGAAAACAAATAACGGAAAATAGAAAGAGAGGAATCTTGAATGGTGGAATATTTGAGGAATGATAATAGCCAGATTAAATAACTTTGCAACTGTAAATAATTCCTAAACGCCTTCATTATATTCAACTAATTAATAGTAATAAAAAACATGGTGAATTTTAAACACATAGTGAATTGTTAATAGTTTGTTTTTATCAAATAAACTCGTTATCTGATAACAGTCTCCTCCAAGTGTTATTAAAGTTTTGAAGCCTCTGAGCAGAAGTGCTTAAATTTGGTAGCACTTGTGCGTCGTATATGAAAACCGTTACAGAAATGTTTCATTCAAGTAGTGTATGTGTAAATTTTACATGTGAAACTAATATGTGTACTTCGATTTTATCAGAGTTAATTATTAACACTTTACAATCAAGTTGCGTCTATTTGCTTCATTAAAATCCTTAATATGCGCGTAAGTATTTGCATATATGTAAGTTTGATATTCAATGAAATGACATCTTCTCGTAGATTTTACGCTCTCAATATTTGAAATTAAAGTCCGCACACAGCCTTGACGACACAACTGCAACAAAAACTACAACAGTAAGTACCTTGGTTTAATAATTTCCAACTAGTGCCGTAATTTTACAACCTTAATATTATTCCTTCTGAACATATATTCATATGTCCTTAGCTGACTGCAGTTCACGATGAAACGCCAATGCGACGTACGAGAATGACATCGAAGGCCATACAAGATGTAAAATCCATACAAACCGTTACTCAAGCTACACGTACTAGATTGCGACACAACAGTGTAATTACAAGTAATGCCCAAATATTACAAGATGCTTTATTGTACGCTAAAAACAATCTCAACAAGATTTGTCCTAGCACACCGGTAGGACAATCGCCTATACAAAAGCGTCGTCAAACACTAGCTTGTGTTGATGACGATTTGCTAAAACAACAGATTTTGGATGCATTAAAAATTAAATTAATAAATACACCGATCGATCAATATACGCGCATCAATGTGGTAGTACGGTTCTATGACGAAGGCACGATGTGGTATACGCGTTTCTATCGTAGCTATGAGGATGTGTTGTGGTTAAAAATACCGCGCGGAGGTAAAACCGCCAAAACAAAATGGCATTTCAAATGTGAGGTCTGTCAGAAAAAACTATGCTCTTTCAGAACACTAAAATCTCATCTTAATATACATATGGGGTTTTTTCCATATCGCTGCGAAGATTGCCCAAATCAGTACCCTGCTAGAGGCACTTACGTGCGTCATAGAAAGTCAAAACACTAAAGCAAGCTTTTAAAATCATTGATTTAAGATGACAAAACCTATGCATAGACATGGTAGTCGTAATGACGTAATAGTGTTTAATAAACAATAATTGAATTGGTTGTTTTAGTTTTGGTTTTTAAGTAGAAAAATGGTTTAACCCAGTGAAAAATGTTGACCTTTATACAATATTTTTTTTTATTAATATTTACTAACGCAAATTGTAAAATTAATGTATATAGTAAGAAATAAATATAAACTCGTTGTTCACATTTATACATATACATATATATTTAGTTTTTACTTATGGATTTGTGCTCGTCTGGCAAAATTGAAATCGTTTAAGAATGACACTGTGTAATTTTTCAATTATAAAAATATTGGTTGAAGGCAGTGTTGAAAATTTGTCCATTTTTCAGTCCAAGCATCTTAGATTATAATTTAAAACTGATTTTGAGATTAAAATTTTGATTTTTCTGGGATTACATATTGAATCGCAAACGCGAAAAAATGTCAATTCTAAATAATTTTTTTTATTTGGGATAAATACAATAATTAAAAATAAATTTAATCAGGTTGTTGTGATTAAACTTTTTTTGTTTATTTTTTAATCCCGTATTTGGTATTAAATTTTTGTAAATTAAATTTTAAATTTAAATTTTTCAGTATGGTATTTGGGATTAAAAATTCGTTTAAATTAAAATTTTCGGGATTTCAAAAAAACAAAAGTTCAAATGTTAATTTATTATTCGATGCATTATTTGCAACCCTGTTTGGAAGATAAACTCACAATTTGTTTAAAAATATATTAGTTCAAAACGACGCATAAATTCTGTTTTATATCCGCCCCAAAGAACTGTCAACTCTTTTGCATATTATATGGTGAATGTTTTTAACCGCTGGAAGAGCAACATTACCACATAAATTTAAATGTAATCATTACCATTCTTTGAGGTAACATAACACCTGGCGATACATAAAAATAATAAAAACCCCCTCCTCCCGCCCCACCGACGAGAGGGGCGCAATCCGCGTACAAGCGGAATTAGCCGAATCAGAAAATCAAGAGAGTTTTTTATGTGTTGAAATCTAAAACTGCTCAGCTACAGAAACCAAAATTTTCAACAGCTAAGATTTATAGTTACGATATAATAATTTGTTACATTTTTATTTATTAAGAGAAAACAATAGTCTTTTTTAATTTTGAAAAGTGAGTCACACAAGTCAAATGTGCTGGAATGAGAATTAAAATCATGACATATACGGCGGAATGGTTCGTTTAGTTCGAAATTTGATCTACAGGATTTTAACAGTAAAGGGCTAAACTACCTCGAAAAGCGAACCGGGATATTAAATTTAATTTCAGACAGGAGAAAAGAACTGCAAACTGTTACATTCAAGATTTTCACTAAGAATATTATGCCAAGCAATTCCCTACGACTAGAAAGTGTATGTAGATTTATAAGTTTTAAACGACTAGTGTGTAGAGGTAGACTTACCCTAGAAACCCATCGGAAATGTCCTAAGGCGAAAAGTAAAAATTGTTTTTGAACAGACTTGTCAGAATGGATTTGGTAGCTAGGGTTCCATGCAACAGAGCCGTATTCCAATATGGTTCTAACCAAAATTGTAAAAAGTGTTTTAGTAGTATACGGATCTCTAAATTCTTTGGACCAAATTTAACAAAACGGAGGACAGCTTTTGCTTTCAAGACCATGACATCTATATGAGGACTAAAATTAAGCTCAGGGTCCATATTAACTCCCAAATCGTAACTCCCATAGTTAAAAACTTACTCTAGACTATGGTATTTTATTACATAAGGATCTACGGGAAAAGCACATCGTCTTACATTTATGTAGATTTTCGCTAAGAATATTACCAAGCAACCATATTGTTTAAGTCTGTTTGCAACAGACACCTTTGCTCAATTGAAGTGTATGCTTTAAAAAGCTTTACGTCGCCAGCGTATAATAAAATTTTCGAGAATTCTATTACAGAAGAGATGTCGTTAATAGACAACAAGAACAGAATCGGGCCAAGATGACTACCTTGCGGAACACCTGAAGAAACATTAATTGTATCTGAAAGAGTATCCTCAAATATCACTCTTTGTGTTCTATTATAAAGATAAAAAACTACCCATTGAAGAAATCTTGGCTGAAAGCCCAGCAGATCTAGTTTATGTATGAGAATCGAGAGATTTACTCTATCGAAAGCTTTGCTAAAGTCTGTGTATATAACATCCTTGTGCTTATGTTCTCTAAAACCCAATAATACATGATTTACAAATTCAAGCAAGTTTGTTAGAGTCGACTTCCCATTACGAAATCCATGCTGAGAGGAGGAAATTAACGGAGAAATCCAAAAGGTTATGTGGTCAGCGATGTTAGCTTCAAAAAGTCTAGGTATAACTGATAGTTTTGCGATACCTCTATAGTTTTCAATGTTGGATCTAAATCCACTTTTATGCAATGGAATTATAAATGACTGTTTCCATATTGAAGGAAATATACCATGTTTAAGAGTTAAGCCAAGTAAATATATGTGGCACTATTTTTTAAGAAGCATGAGGGTATCATGTCTGGGCCGTAACTAAAATATGGTTTTAACTTATTTAAATTAAGTAGGACGTCTTCTTAAGAAACAATTGGAATGTTAATTAAAGTATTCGGACTCAGTATGTGCTGATAGGAAAAAGTCTTAGCAGAATTATTACAGTAGTCTGACTTGAAAAATTCTGCAAACATATTGGATATAACATCATTGTCACTTGAAATGATAGATTTGTATTTCATTGCGGACGGAAATTTGGAAATCCTGCGTTTGGAGTTAACGAAATCATAAAACGATTTTGATAGTCGACAAATGAACCGGTTTTATTAAAATGTGTAAAGGCTCGAGTTTTACTGTTTTTCAATTTATATAACTCTTTTGAAAACCACGGTTAAACTGAGTACAGAGGCTAGAAGTTTGATGATTACTATCCCGTACATTGCCTATAATTTCGACAGATATTTCCAAAGCAGGATGATACGAGTCCTCGGGTAGAACAAGAGGTTTACTCTGAATAATGAAACACTTTTAAGACACTTTGAGAACACTCAATAAATACTACATCTAAGTATTTACCAAATTTATTCGGAATCAAATTATCGTATATAAAATTCATTAGAACATGACCGATTGCAAATCGGTGCGATATAATCATCGAAAGCTTTTCACGTAGCACACGCTAAATTAATATCTCCTAAAACGATTATTGAATCTGCATTATTTACCATCGAGGTAGCACTATTTATTAAAGAGGAATGCTGCATGTATACAGATAAGTCCGAATGGGATGGTATATAAGATAGGGTTAAATTAATAAAGCAACTATTAACGTATACTCTAATACATTTAAATTCAAATGAGTTGGTTCCTGGAACGAGAACATCTTCAGATGTACAGCAAATAGAACACTTTCACATCTAAATATTTTAGATTTGATTTTTTAAATCTCATTATCAAAAATGTGGATGAGCATTTACCGATTCTATAAGCTCGGCGTTATGATTATTGAAGAACTAGAAACTCATTGTGAATTTTTCGTAGTTCGTTTTTTTTTTTACTGAGAAAATAACACAAAATTGTAACCTGAAATACTGACTGTACCCCCCGTACTCCCGTTTAAGTACCACAACCAAAGATCAGATATTTTGTTGTACTTAAGAGTGAATGGCACTTAAAAGAATTCCGCTGAAGTACCAGATGGTACTTAAATTCTGTTTTTTTTTTTTAATATCCATTAAAAATATAAAGTTTTATTTAATTAAAACACAAATATGCAGTTCTTTAGCAATACTAAATGTTAAATAAAATGCACCAAAGTAAAAAAAAAATTTAATTATAGGCAATGCAATATGAGATCGTGTTGCTTACAAAGTAAATTTTGATTAACTCAGGTAAACATTACATGTATTTCAATAAAAATAACGTAAAGGTTTTCGAAGTGGTACCGAGTGTGCTACTAAAGCGAATGGTACTGAAAAGAGCAATTTCTATGTATTTAAAAAAACGCGTGAGATGCAGTAAGACACAGGGAAATAAGAGGGATTGACAGTTAATCGTGGTGGTACTTAACCGGGTTTGACTATAACTATAACACACCAAATGCTATTCTACAGTTTTTCTACCATAAATAAATTTTGATTTTGAAGTGAAAGATAATAATATTATTATTAATATTCCATTATTTTGCTTGGTATTATGTTTTTGTTTATGTATTCATTATAAATACTTAAATCTCTGTGTATTACATGTATATTCGGTCTTTATTACTCCCTTTACAGTAGTAAATTAGCTAAGTAGCTGTTAATTAAAATCGATGAAATAAAAACAAGAAAAAACGTTAACTTCGGTTACACAGAAGTGATAATACCCTTCACAGTTGCATTTCTTGTAGCATAAAGGAGTTAATAATGAGTTTATCTTGATTTTAATCTGTCAGTTTGTATGGCACCTTCGGATACTGTAACATATGGTTTTCTTGAATAATAACTCTTGTCAAATTTCGTCAGGATATCTCGTCAAATAAAAAAGTTGTCCATACAAGCATGTCGCAGATGGAAATGGCTAAATCGTCTCATCTCGTCATGCTGATATTTTATATGCATATATTTTTTATAGGATCTTCGACGTTTCCTTCGGGATGTTGCAAACTTCGTGGCAAACTTAATAAGTGCCGTTTCAGACAGGGACGCAAAAGAGTCTCATACCAGTTTATTGTGGGTGAGGGGACGACGAGGAAAGACGAAGGGACCGTGCCACTCGTGTTCGGGTGGCACGCTTTGTGTTCTTGTTCGTAACAGCTCGCTGCTACCCTTTTCAGCATTCCTTTTCACTTTCAAATCCTTTGAATGGTTGCAAGAGCGCTCGGTTTCAAATGAATTCGATCGCAAATTTGAGTTCTGTTATCTATTTTTGTATGTAATATGCAAATACGTATGCATAGAATAATAGAAATATTATGACAAATTGTAAATAAGGAGAAAATTAAGATATAGATTATGGAGTAAAGAAATTATGAATTTTTAATACGGAGTAAAGAAATTATGAGTTTTTAATACTTAAAGATTAGGAAATTCCTATTATAAATTTGGCCTTGAAAATATTAGTTGCGGATATTCAATACATTCTTGTGGATTAGGGAATTCCCGTCTTTAGTATTTCTTTGAAACTATTTAGCGGGTAGGTACTTGTATTATGCATATTGTTCTACCATATTCATGGTAATTC